CCATCTTGAATTGCTTCTAGCTCAAAAGACTATAAACTTTACGAATTTACAATAGCAGAAATACCACTTACTATCTGCAAATCTTAGAACGGGAGCGACAATAACGGACAAGCGGCCTTCTTTAGGACTAGCAAATCTCAAGTCAATCTCGGTGCCACCAAGATCAGCGATCGATACAGGTACCTATTAATGATATAACAATGGGAAGAGTACTCTCAAAACATGACTATAAAACATTGCAATAAACAATATAGAAGTGAAGAAACAAGAACAGAGTGACCAACCTCATTCCAATCTTGAGGAACCGAAAAGCTGTAAGGGATAATAGGACTCCAACCAACACCATGCCCTCCTGATTTCTCATCTGGTCTACGGTATGTTCTCCAACCTGTCTGAGCATTACAATTACATTTCACCAACTACTATAATATATAACATAAACTCCCAAAATCAATTTCCAAAGTCTAATTTTTTTTTTATGAATCTATGTTTCAATGGTAACATCTTCAACAAAAACAAACAATATAAGATCCATACTTTAAAATCATCGACTATCTAGTATCTACTTACAAATGTTATTCAAGATCATAATCTAACCTATTGTTCATGGGTTTCAAGAAAATCAAGAAGACAACGAAGAGAGACACGAACCTTCATCATCAGGTTCGGACAAACCAGGAACTCTCCCGGCAAGAAGACCCTGTTTCACAACAGCTAATCCTTCACCTGGAAACCCTAAAGCTGTGGACGAGACCAACGAGAAACCAGTAGTCGCCATCACCGATCTTCTACTCAAAACCTTAGCACACCACTCGTCTTTAGATCCTCCATGAATCGATTTCAATCTCGGAATCTCACTATCACTTCTGTGATGATGAGCGACGGTTTTCGACTGACCGGAGAAATTGATGCAGTACCGGAGCAAAGCTGTTTCCATTGCTTCTCCGGTTGGTTTCAGTCTGATTRCGTTTTGCATGCCTCCACTCACTTTGTGATGATATAGTTTCACTAGGCATCATCGTTTTCTAGCCTCACACGTGTCACTACCTTGTAATGTAATAAAGATCTAATTATTCAACTAAAGAAAATAGTATTTGCAATAACAACAGATTTTTGGGTATTTGACACTATTTGGGTTGTTTTTAGGACATTTATATACATTTTTATCCTTGAATGTGTTTCTCAGCTCTCTATATGTCAGAAGCAATGAGAAGTTTGGTGAAAGCAGCGAGGGATTCTAATAATAAAATCAATAGCCGGATATTAGAACATATTCAAAGAATAATCTTAATTGTTAGCTAGATACAAATTTTAATTAACCGGACAATCTATAATAAGTTGGATGTATTTGCTTAACAACTTACAGAAAAGAAGATTAGTAGCCGGATAAAATATAAATACAACGAATAAACTTTGTTAGAAAGTTAAATAATAATATTATTATACGGTTAATAAAATCAGTAGCGAGATAGTATAACATATTTAAAGAGTAATCTTAATTGTTATCCGGATATTAGTTATAAATACGGACAACCTAGTAAATTTCGAGTCATTCTCAAAAACTTTACTCCAAACGAATTCTGAAAGGTTAACTGGTAATAAGCCACACTGCATAC